GGCATGTCAAAGCATACTGTTGCGTTGCCCCCGCAGCTCCTGCCAAGCTGCCCGCCACGCTGGCCGGCCGGCCCTTGGCGGCAACGCGCCGGGTCAGAGCGCGCAGGTGGTCACGGACCCCGACCTGCTGGCAGAGCAGGGCCCTAGGCCGCTCCCTGGTCGGGAGGACGCGGTGGTGGCCGACCTGGCCGCTGCCCTGGGGCCCCCTTCTCGGGAGGGCCTCAGCCTTGCCCAGCCGCGCCGCAGGCCGGGGCCCGGCCCGTTCGCATGAAACAAAATCATGGGGGAGCAGAGGGCGATCAACCACCGCTAAGCGCAGAAGGAGGCTGACGCCGCCTTTGAAGCAGTTCTCGCTGCGCAGAGTGCAGCGGACAAGGCCGCCGCGCCGGCGGGGCCGGGCCCTGCAGCAGCTGCAACCCCCACGCCAGCGGCGGCGGCGCCCGCGGGACCGGCGCTGCCGCCGGCCGCGGGCGCCGCAGCGGCGTCGCCGGGCCGCGGGGTAGAGGGGCCGCCCGCGGCGCTTGGGCGGGTGGCCGCTGCAGGGAATGATGCGGCGGGGGGGCCGTGCCTTCCCCCGATCGAGCCATAGGGGCCGCCCGTGCTGGACAGTGCTGTCACATGTCAGTCGCTTGGCTGAGCGTGTCTCGTTTGCGCACGACTTGTACCCTTCTGGGCACGCCGTTCCCCGCGGGCTTTGTCGTGCATGGGGCCCCTTTTTTATGGACAACCCCTTTCGGCTCGGCCTGCTGTGCATGGGATGGAGGGGGTGTCACCGCTGCCGTGCTTGTGTCCCTGCAATCACCACAGTCACAGCTCACTCTCAGTTGGCGTCGCGCGGCGTTTCGCGCCTGGTATACAGTCCCCCAGCGGGGCCGGGCTTGGGCAGCCGCATCTGCGCGGGTGTCATCGATTTGTCATGTAACTTCACATGTATTAATACAGACCTTGCCTCTAGCAGAGGGGCAACGGGGCCCTTGTGTTAAGCCGACCCTGTTCCCAAGTGGCCAGGGGTTTCTGCATGGGTGGGTGGTGCGCGCCCCTGTGTCGCGGTCGCTCTGGCCGCGTGCGTTCTGCGGGATGGCGCGCCCCATGCCCCGCTTTGATCGCTCGCGTGTTATGCATGGGTCCCCGCTTTTGCGCGTGGTGCCGAGCTCCCCCCCTCTGCCCCGAACGACTTTGAGGTTGGGGAAAGGGTTGCGGCGTTGTGGCTTGGAAGATAGCGGCTTCTCGGGGTTTCCCGCGGCCGCAGACCTGCCTCGTACCTGTGTATCTGCCAGATCCTTGCTCTTGGTGACTGGCCACAAGCTGTAAGTCTGATTTTCTGTAACAACCGCAAAGCAACGCAGAAGCAGGCGACTGCGGGATGGTGTAACAGTCCCGATCCTTATCCTTCTTACAAACGCAGTGCTGTCAGGAGTGACACAAAGATACACACTATCAGTTTGCTAGCGCCAGCAGAAGCGCGGCGCCCCGCATGACCCAATTGTCTGGGTCTGACGCGCCAGCGCGCAGGTCAACGCTTGTCATGAAGCTAGGGCGCTCTCTTGTGCCGGTCCTGATGGGGTACATGTAGAGGGGGCATGCGTACACGCCCTTGCCTGCCTTCTTCTTGTTCTCGACTGGTTTGAAGTGAAGCACTGGCATAGGCACGATGAGCTCCATTGGATTCGGCTCACGCAGGCTGCCAGCCTCAAAGTCCCAGCCAGCGCCTGCAACACACACGGGATTGGAGTGGGCCCAGGTTTTTTGCCTTTGGGTTGAGGCAGGCGCACCATGGCACCAGGCACTGTGTTAAGTTGGTGGCACAACTGCCACCACCCAGCACCCAAAATCACAATCAACATGCAAAACTATCAGCAAGCCCCGGCCACCCACCTTCTAGGAACATGCCCTTGACGTATACCCCCTCCTTGGGGGGACCCGGGATGTCGCGCTCTGTCAAGTTGACCACCCCGTGCTCGAATGAAAGCCCGTCGATTGGGACGCCCGCGCGGCGCGCCGCCGTCTGTAGCACCGCCGTCAGGAAGCCCGTCGGATACGTGAACCCGCCCAGCCAGTACACGCGCGGGTACGAGCCCTCCGCCCACTTCGCGAGCTGCTCGACCCGCGCCAGCAGGTCGCGCGCCCACGCGCCGAGGGGCTTCAAGGAGGGGTACGTCTTGAGCCACGCGCTCGGCACGCGGCCGTTGTACAGCGCTGACGCCACGCCGTCCAGCTCGGCGCTCATCACCACGAGGCCCTTCAGGCCCTGCTGCAGGTCGGTGCAGGAGCGGCGCACGCGCGCGAGGAGGGCGTTGTAGCGCTCGATCTCCTGGAAGAGCACCACGTGGAGGGCGCTGGGGTCGTCGGCCTTGGAGCGCATCACCTCCTCCAGGTTGAAGGGCGCGGGGATCTGGGGGACGATGGTGCATGAGAGGTGTGTGTGTGTGTGTGTGTGTGTGTGTGTGTGTGTGTGTGTGTGTGTGTTGAGGGGGCCTATGTATCAGGGCCTCTGGCACACGCATGTACACGTGGGAATGCACGCAGTCATGCCAGCGTGCAATAAAACTTGACAGCTGCCAACCCTTGATGCAAAAACTCTAAAGCCATCCCCATGGCTTGAGATGCGGCCTACACAATGCTGGCAACCAAGCACTGGCTTGGCTCCACTGCAGCTCTGCGGGCGCCTTGCTTTCCCCGCCAGTACCAACCTGATCTAGCAGGTCGGCTGTTATCGCTGCCACCGCCTCCTCCCGGCGCAGCCCGCCCGCGCCACCTCCACCCGCCGTGCCAGAGCGGGGCTGCAGGGCCCCCAGGCCGTCCAGCAGGGCGCGCGAGTCCTCTATCAGGTAGGATATCTCCGCGTTGAGGTGCTGGCCAAAAGCCTCGGGGCTGGGGGGCGGGGGCATGGTCGACGCCAGGGAAAGCACGGCACGGTTGTGCACGAGAAGGGCCGAGCACATGGCGTATCATCCAGCTAGCCAAAGTGTGAGACGAGCGAGTCTGAACATGCAGCACACCGCATGCATCCTCCTTGGCAGCCCCTAGGCAGTGCCGCACGCCGGGCGCCTTTGTGCCGAACCCCACACTAGTACTAAGGCCCCTTAGTACCAAGGCCCCTCCACCTGTCTGTGGTTGGCAGTGTGGCGATGTATTCGCGGTAGCCCTGGAGGGACCCGGGCTCAGGGATGAAGTACGTGGGCAGGGGGGACAGCCGGAAGTTGGTAGTCTCGACAGCCTCCTCACAGTAATACCTTGGGGTTTGTTTGAAGCCATAGGAAAAGACAAGCTTAGATGTGGATGTGCTATGTGGGTATGCAAAAGCTGAGATCAGCGCAGCCCCCAGCTGCATGCAGCCGGCACGGCCACACTGATACACGCACCAAGGTTGAGTGCGCGCCCACATCACGCGCAATATTTATCACAATAACGGCTGAGCCGGGCGACCAGACCTCCCATGACCCATCACATGACCCCAGCAATTATGCATGCATGCCCCTGCCAGCCGTGTCGACGACGCCCCGCTCACTTGTCCATGTAGCTGACCAGCACCCTCCTGTCCAGCTCGTCGGTGACGCGGCCGCCGTAGTTTGCCTCGGCTATGAGGTACTTGAGGGCGGCCCAAGGGGTGGAGGCGTAGCTGTCCAGGTAGCTGCGAAGGAGATCATCCGACACACTGCACGAGGGTTTGGCGTCGGGGCCAGCAGCGTTGCGGAAAGTCGAGTCAGGAGCAGGCCGGATCAGGGGGGGTGGAGGGAGCTGCCGTGCGCCAGCGAAGTCAAGTGGACAATCCCGGGGTCGGAAGAATGTGCAGATTTGCTTTGTGGGTCAGGCACTCAAATAGAAATGGTTGAGGGGAGGGTTGTGCCGCGCACATAGCTTGCTGGCCAGGGCCCCAAAAAGCCTATCAAATCAATCACGGCGGTAAAAGCCCATCAAAGTCCAAAACATGCATCATCATGCCGCCGGCTGGTGAAGCTGCGTCCTATGCATCAGTGTTGTGCGGCCCACGCCAACCGTCGGATGCTCATGAATGAGGGTGCACCCCTTCAGCCCAAACCCCAAGCGTGAACAACCACACAAAGAACGCGTGCCAAGATAATCGCTCACAAGAAATCTGTGTCGTTGAAATCGTAGGGCACGTTGAGCCCCAGCGTCCTAAACTTGCGCCGCTCCAGCAGCACGCTGTGGAAGAAGGCGAGGGCGAACAGCAGCCGCTGGTAGCGCGCCGCCGCCTTGCACGCCTTGAAGCCCTCATCAGTGATTGACTGGTACATGCGCTGCAGGTTGGCCCGGAGGCCTTTCGGGGGCTCCGTCGTCATCTTGATGCCACGCTGCAGGGGTTTTGATATGAGGGAGGGGGAAAGTGTAGTGGTGTTGCAAATGATGACGCAACAGCAACTGGGTGACAAGCCAGCGGCAGGCAGCCGTGCGGCGGGACACGATGGCAGCGTCAATGCGGATCTAAAGGTAACGAGAGGATTGCTGACACACTGTCTGTTTGACTCAGTCCCCTCACTCTGGCTGCAACTGCTAGTGTCAAAATCTCAGCATCATTGATATGACCCTCACCTGCAGAATGGAGATTGGGAAAGCTTCGCTTGGGCTGGATGACAGCCACAACCGGAACCGCTCGTGCGGTGCTGCAGCGCCTGCACCGCCCTCAAGCCCCTCAACGATCTTTGCCAGCGTGGGCAGCCAGCTGGTCATGAGGTGGCAGTTGGCCAGGAACACCCAGTGGCCCGACTTTACGCCCTCCACAATCAGCCGTTGAGCGATGGGGGCCTGCAAGTGTTGGCGTGCATGATCACGGTGCGAATAGGAGGTTTGGATGCGGTTTGCAGGGAAGGGCCTTGGCGCCTGGTGTCGGCAGCACAGGCCCAACCTATTCCACAGATATGGGATAAGACAGCTTCATCTTCACACACAGACGAGGAGCTCATGCTGGGGTCCGCCAATTGTGGCGCACATATGCATATGCCCACGTCGTCTTCCCCCCCTCAATCCCACGCACCTGCCCCTGTCCCAGTGCAACGCTGAAGAACCGCCCCCCCATGCCCTTCTCGGCCGCCAGCTTCCGCAGCGCCTCCGTCGGGTCCACCCCCGGCGACAGGACAAACACCAGCGGCGCCGCCGGGGAGCTGTCCGCAAACGTCTCCCCCAGGTCGAGGACCGGCGGCTCAACGAAGCGCCGCCCCAGAGCGTTGGAGACGAAGCCCGCCGCGGCGAACAGCGCGCGATCGGGGCGGAGGGAGCGGACGAGGAGCATGCGCTGCAGCTCGCCCAGGCGGGACTCCCACTCCCGAGGGAGCTCGGCAGTTTCGGGCTCGGGGCTGTGGGATGGGGGCGGGCGGCAGAGTAGTGCGGAGAGGAGGTTGAGACTTGGGCTCGCAGCATATAAAAGTGACTATGGGGGCTTGATTCGCTGCAACCCAGCGACCATGGAATCCAAAATCGGGCTCAAACAATGTGCGTGCAGCGCAGGCTGGGCTGGCTGCATGCCCCAGCCGGCCGGCCCACCTGCGGAACCAGCCCTCCCAAGTGGAGGTGGCGGCCTCGAAGCTGTGGGCGAGGCCCTTGAACGCGGGCAGCGCGTCGAGCGACGACACGTGGCCCCAAGCCTCCTCGCTGATCCAGGCCGGGGCTGGGTTGGGGGCCTGCTGGGTGGGGTCGAGGACCTGGGCGCATGCGGAGGGGGGTGGGAATTGGAAAGTGAAGGGTTGATCATTCTGACAATAGCAGTTGGAGCGCGGCTGTGATGTGCACTGCCCAGCTTGACACTCACGCCCCCCCCCTGCAAGGGGCTTGTGCTCGCAAAGCAACCCTGAACTCCCCTCATGCGCCGAAGCGCCCGCCGCCGCGTCACTCCAAGCAACGCCCATATGCGTGGCTCTTGTTTGACCGCACCTGCCCGCCGCGCAGCAGGTACTGCCACTCCTCTGCGTTGACCTGCCCCGCCAGCGCCAGTATCCGCGCGCACATCTGCAGGCTCAGCAGCAGCTTGTGGCGCTCGAACAGGCCGCGCGCCGCGTAGCGGTACACCGCGTACGTGTGGTGGTCGTTCAGCGCCTTGATGCGCTCCTGCAGCTCCTCGGGCCCCGGGGACGCCCTCAGGCTCAGCGCGAACAGCGACATGTAGGAGTCCAGGGAGAACTGGTACATGGGGTCCACCGCCGCCAGGTCGTTGAGCACGAAGTAGAGCGCCGCCGCGCGCACGCTGCACGGCCGGTACGCGGCCGCCGCGGCCTCGAGTTCTCGGCCCGTGTCCTCCGCGACCGCGAGGCTGGCGGAGACCTCCTCCCAGGTGGCCTTGGAGGCGCCCAGGGCGTCGATGAGGGCGACGTTGTCCAGGAGGCTGCCCGTGGCGGAGGAGAGCAGCGCCAAGACGCGGTCCTCCAGCTCAGCCTGGGTGCGCTTGCCGGCGGCGACCTGCGCGGGCGCGGGTCAGTGTGGGGGAGGGAAGGGGGGAGGGCGGACGGGTGGTGATATCGGTGGGCGTGTGGAGTTTGTGGAGGAAAGTTGGACAACAAATTGTTGCTGCAAGCGAGATGACGATGCTGAGCTGTACATGCCTTGCTGAGTGTGCGCCACAGGCGCTGCCATGCCTCAACAGCAAGCACGCGACCAGCAGGGCAATCAGCGAGCCCGCCCACCTTGACCACGAGCTCGTTCTTTTGAGCGTCTAGGTCGGGCCGCTCGTGCTTCACCACAGCCGCCAGCAGCTGCCCCTCCAGCCCCTGCTGCTTCACCGCAAAGTTGACCAGCGCCACCTTGGTCGTGACCTCCGGCGGGTAGGTGGGGTTTGGCAGGCGCGTGGTGATGTAGAGGCGGAAGTCGGGGGACACGTCCACCTCCTTGTCGCCCAGCTTCACCAGCACCTGAGAGCCGCGCCTGCGGGTCGGCCGAGGCGGGAAGAGTGTGTGTGAGCCAATGGGATACGGGTGAAGCAGCGCACAGGTATTTGGGGGGGGGGGGGAAGGACTGAGGAAGGGACAAGTAGCGGTGCATGGACGGCTTGTGGAATTGATAACAGCAAGGTGGCTCTGCTCCTGGTCACGAGTGGCCGTCCTAGCCAATGCACACCTCCAGCCGCCGGCGCACAAGGACCGCTGCTGCTCATAAACCGAGCCTGAGCAGGTCAGGACCAACCGCAAGCCACGGGTGTGCAAGGGTGCACCCGCGTGCACTCCAGACCCCCCCACCCCACGCGCCTGATGTAGCTCTTGCCCAGCAGTGGCTCCAGTGCCGGGTCCAGCTCCTCCATGACGTCAACGAGCAGCACAGGGCGGCCAAACTGCACGGCAGCCTCGACCTGCGGGAGGGATGGGACAGACATCGGGGAAGGGTCGAGTCGAGGCACAGCAGTCCAAAGGAAGGAGCCTGCATTGATCCTCCAAGATTGTCCTTGCACGAATTCAGCCATCTTTGTCGACTTCAGTCAGTTTGATCGACATTAAAAATCTTGCTCCAGCGCCCCCCACCCACCCCATTCAGCACCCCTTCAAGGCGCCCCCCCCCACAAGTCACCTGGCGCATCATGTCGGCGGCGGTGACGCTGACGACCTTGATGCCGCTGCCAGACTCCATGTTGCGCACCCAGCGCACGGCCTGGCCCTGCGCGGCACATACAAAAGGCGGCACACCCAAGTCACCAGTGAACTCACTTCAGGAACTGCAACGTCTGCCGAATGCTGGCGCACTTTGAAAAACTTACCCTGCACCCCTTTCGGCAAATGCAAGCAAATTCACTCCAGGATTCTCAACAGACAGGACCTGCCCGCTGTGCGCCTTCTACAAGACAAGGCGCGCGCCGCACCTGCGGGTCAATCATCAGCGGCCACCGCCGGCCGCGCGCCACCATGACGCCGTTCTCCGTGCTGAACGCGTCCGCCGGCAGCCCCCAGATGTTCCAGTCGCGCACCGTGGCGGGGTCCGCCAGGAAGCCGCAGAAATCAAAGGCCTCCGAGGCCGGGAGGGACTGGGCGCGTACCTGGTGGGGGCAGGTGAGGGTGGGGGCAAGGCGACATAGGCAGGCCGAGCTCAGATAAAAGACCGTGGACCACGGTCGCTGAACAGGCGCACAGCAAATGTTCCTAGGGCGGCTTGAAGACTCTTGAATGCACCGAGCGCCAGGGGTCAGGCTGGCACAACCTAAGCTCCAGCATCCACCATTTTGCATCACACTGCCTCTGTGCTCTCAACGCGCGTGCTTGCACTGGCACCGCGGCCCAAGGATGAGCAGAGCTTGGGCACGCAGCACAGATTTGTGTGTGTGTGTGTGTGTGTGTCTCTGTGTGTGTGTGTGTGTGTGTGTGAGCCTGCGTGTGTGTGTGTGTGTGTGTCTGTGTGTGTGTGCGTCTGTGTGTGTGTCTGTGTGTGCCTGTGTCTGTGTGGGATTGTGCAAAAAACTGCAGCCGGAAGCGAGCGCACACCTGCGGCAGCCACGTGGCGCGCGCCAGCTCGTCCCTGAACTCGCTGGGGAAGGGCCCCGCATAGGACAGGAACGCGGCCGCCACCGCCGCGTCCCCGGGCAGCGCCGCCAGCCGCGCCTCCAGGCCGCCGATGCTGGCCTGCCACAGCGCGCGCTCGCCGGCCAGGCCGGTCACCAGCTTCTCCGCGCGCGAGAGCTTGCCGGCCAGGTCTGAGAGCTCGGCCTCCAGGGTGGCCTTGGAGGACATACTCTCCTCGTATCGCTGCCTGAGAGCGAGGGCAACGCAATGGAAACGAGGGCAAGGGCGACACAGTTGTCATCCCTCCTTAAAGCAGGCACTTTGCTTGAATGTGCAGGCAGTGTAATGTATTGCGTGAGTGTCGCAGGCGCTGTGTAGCAGGCACCATAGCAGGCCTAGGATGGAAGTTTCGGGGTTGTGGGGGCTCTGTCATACACGTTGCCACCTCAGCCTGCCGACATCAGAGGCCGAGTGAGCGCCAAGGACGCAGCATGGGGAGCCAGCGAAAAGTGGTCCTCACAAATATCCATCATGGTCCCACCCGCCCTGGGTCCCCAGGCTGCGCCGCCCAAGCAACACTGAATGATGCTGGGGGGTCCTCTTGCCCCACCTGAGGCTGGCGACCTTGGCCAGGACCGCCGCCAGCTGCTCCTGCGCTGCCGCCAGCGCCGCCTGCTTCTTGGCCAGGTTCTCCTGCGCCGCCTTGAGCCGCGCCCGCTTGGGCCCCACCTCCTTTGCGACCCGCCCGTACGTCTCCATCGCGCACACCCACATGCACATGCCCTTCGCCGCCAGCGAAACCTTGCCGACCGCGTCCGGCGTGAAGTCGGGGTTCGCGGTGAACTTCCCAATCTTCTTCAGGAGCGCGTCGTCCAGCTGGTCCTTGTCGTAGGCCAGGAGCTTCATCATGAAGTTCGCGTCCCCCAGCTGCTTCTTGGTCTCCTCCCAGGTGGCGGGGCGCTTGAGCACAGTCATCACGCCGCCCAGCGTCAGCTCAACCAGGGCGGGCGGCTTGGAGTAGGCCTGGTTGGCGTTTGGGAGTCATGTCAAGGGGTTTGGGTGTGTCAGGCATGCGAGGAGCATTGTAGAGGGCAGACGTGGCCAGGTTTGATGCCGGCGGGATGGACAGCAGTCCAAAGCAATGATTTGGCCACTTTGCCCTGGATCCCGCTCTCGGCTGAACCTAGCTTGGGTGTACAGCATCGCAGTGCTCATCACACACTGCCCAGCTGCAACTCCCTGCGTTTCGAGCCCCAACTATGGCCCAAAGCGGTGAGACTCCTGCGGTCATCCCTGCTGCACAGCGCACCTTGAGCTCGCTGATGTCTTTCTTGGTCAGAACGTTGAGCGCCTCCTCCGCCTCGCGCAGAGCTGGCAGCGCTCGCTCCAGCTCAGTGGACACCTGGGCAGATTAGTCATCAAGTGGATGGATGGGTCGGAGCAGAGCTGTGAGCTGTGAATGGGCTTGATTCACACAACCAAATTGCCACAAAAGTTGTCAGGAGGGTTGATCAAAAAGGCTGATAGGCGTTGATGGTGCAGAAATGTGTTGCCCTTCTGCACGCATCCATTCCCTCAACAAACCCATGCCCGCCTGCTGTGCGATGGCGTTGGCCTCCTCGGCCTCGCGGCCGATCTTGGTGGCCTCAGCGTTGACCGCCTTCTCCTGCTCGTCAGCCACGCGCTTGTCCTGTGTGTGCGTGCGTGCGTGCGTGCGTGCGTGCGTGCGTGCGTGCGTGCGTGCGTGATTGGGTGGGTGGGTGGATCAGGGATTACATTGTGTCGGGGCTGCGTTTCTTGTTTGTGTTTGGGCTGCTTTCGCAGAGGCTGTGCAACTTCAGGACATAGGCACAGCTGCAAGGCTCCCGGCTGCCTGTCCTTGGCCTGCCTACCTGCACGATGGCCACCAGCAGCTCCTCGCACTCGGCCTTGGCCTGCGCCACGACCTGAGCCTTGGCCGCGGCCACCACCTGCATCGCAGACACCTGGGGCCGGCGCGGCGCGGGGGCACCACGACAAACAAGAGGGCCAGGCATTGACGGCGTCCACTGCATCGGTCTAGCAGCATGTTGGCGCTTGTGCTTGCCCCGCAACATCTGCTGCGCCCTCCACCCCATTCATGCGAGCTTGCCCCCGTACCCTCTACGGTTTGCATGCGGCAGGGCCGGCAACCACCTGCCCAAACCCCAAATTCTTCTGCCCCCACCTGAGTGCGCGTCTCGTCCAGCTTCAGTAGCCCGCCCTGCAGCTTCCCGGCCTTGCCCGCCAGCTCAGCGCGCTTCTCCCCGAGCAGCGTGGCATAGTTGTGGACGCACTCCAGATAGTTCGTGGGCGTCACGTACACGCGCCTCCTGAGGGCGCCCCACATCCGCCGCGCGGCCTCCTCCACGCTCTGGTGCGCCGCGACCAGCACGCGGCACGCCGCCGCGCGGACGGCCTCCGCGGCAGCGGCGCCGGCGATGGCGGGCAGGGCCGCGTCGTCGGCGAGGCGCCGCGCGGCGACCTCGTACAGCGCGTCCGCCGGCCACTCGCAGAACCAGTCTATGGCGGTGCAGTTGACGAGGCCGGGGAACATGCGGCAGCGCTCGCGGAAGGCCTCGCCGACGGGGCTCAGGCAGAGGACAACGTGCAGGTTGGCCCTGGGGGTGGTTGGCGGTTGTGAGGGATTGATGAACGCAATTTTTTTGGGGGGAGGTGGGGGGGCGTAGAGTGGGTGCAGCACAGGGGGGGCTGCAAAGCTCGCAATAGCATCGAGATTCACACTAAAACCCACGGTTTGTGGGATGAAACGCGTGCTTGCAAAACCAACACAATGTCTCCCATTGGCCTTGTCCAAAGAGCTGCTTGCGTGCTGGAACACAGGATGCCCCTGATCCCAGCAACCCCCCCACTGCACACGGAGTCCCTCCCCCTTACCTGACACGCTCCAGCAGGAACGCCATCAGCGCATCCTGCGTCTCCCCTGCCCCCGCAGCCTTGGCTGCCGGCCGCAGCTCGTCCAACACGCCACCCAGCTCGTCCTGGAGCGCGGTCGCGACGCAGGGGAGCGAGGTGGTGACGGTTCGTACGCCTATGGTCACCCAGCTGGATGAGCTTTGTCAATTGGAAGTTATGAATGCCAATTGCATCACCGTTGTATCCTTGCAATCCTGGGCCAAACAAGCCAGCCTCACGACGCTGCAAACCCACTCTGACGCACACAAAGTCGCTCGCCGCATGGGACCCCCACCTTTGGGAACAGGTTTGGCACCTCCCCGCTGGTCAGGATGTTGTTAACGTCCTCCAGGAAGGTCTCGTACTTGATCTGGGTCTCGTCCAGCAGGAACGCCGTGCGCTTGCCCGCCACGCCGGCGGTGCGGTACAGCGTCTTGAGGTCCTCGCGCCACTCAGACTGCCTGGGGCGGCGGGGTTTGGGGTGGGTCGGAGCAGATCGAGACGCTTTCAGGGTTTAGGTTGGGGGCGGCATGGGGGTGGTGCGGCGGGCAGGACTATGTGCGGCCTCCCAGATGACTGTTCTGGAAGCAGGCTTGCTAATTGCTGGGATGGCCCTCTGCCCTCTGGTCCTTCTTTTCCCGTGAGCAGCCAATGGCCGCGCCTGTAGTTGCGGGTGATCTCGATGGTGACGACCCTCATCTCTGCGACGTAGGCCGCCAGCCGCGCCAGGCTCTTGCGGCCGCTGCCACCAACGCCCACCAGCAGCGCGTTGCCGTGCGGCTGGCTCAGGATCCTGCGGGCAGTGTGTGTGCCGTTTGCAGCGCCCAGTTCAGTTGTAGACACCAAAAATTCAAGCCCACTGACGCGCTCGCCGCCACCGCGGCCGCAACTCAGCCTCAACAACTGATGTTGAATGGACGCAAGGGCGCGGACTGCAGCTTTTAATAACTCAACACAGACGCGAGCGCGTGCCCTCAGGCCCGACCTGTGTATGCGGCAGATGTGCAGGAGTGCGTCCTTGAACAGGGACAGGGCGGCAGGCCTCGCCCCTGGCTCCAGCGCCGCCTCCTCCATCTTGTCCTGCAGAAGATGAGGGGGCAGAGGGCGGCCGGGCAGAGGGGGACATGATTGGGAGCAGGGAGGGGATGGACCAGGCAGAAGCGGCAGGTAGCGCAGGGGTGCAGCGAACACGCGTGCGTGCAGGACTGTGCATCACAGGCCGTGCGGCAGGGCAGCCGACAGGGCAGGACAATGTCTGGATGCAGTATAAAAGCCGTCCAGGTGGGGTGTCCTCAGCTGCGTGCGAAACCAGCCGGCATTCTTGACACCCTTCCCCCCACCCCCGAACATAACTCCGACCTCCTTCACCAGAAATGGAGGTCAATGTACAATCATGGCCCCTGCAGGGCGGCCCACTAGTTGTGCATATCTGTTGGTGTGCACCCCGCGCGCAGTGCCTGCGCACCTGCAGCAGGGACTTCAGGGCAGCCATGTCGCGCACTGGCTCATAGGGCGGCGTCTCTACGGCGCCGGCTCGCAGGAAGCTCACGTACGGCAGCACCTGTGGTTCAAGGTGCGGCAGGCGCCTTGATGTGGACACAGGGCACAGCAGGCTCACCATGCCGTCATCTGCTGGCGCAACAACCTTGAACACCTAATTTTCAGCCCGAAACACCCCAAACTGGCACAGCAAGGTGTCCCACCTCTCCAGCTGTTGCCTCGAACAAAACGGAGGTACTGGTGCCAAAGCTGGCGCCCAGGCGCTCGTCCAGCTGCTTCCTCAGCCACTGGCGGTCCTGGGGGTCCCACATCCGGTCCCCCACAACACGCTCCGCCTCGTGGCACCAGAGCTGCAGCAGCTCGTCCTTGTTGTCGGTGAACGCTTTGCTGGCCTGGGGTTTGGAGGTCGGGGGTTGCAAAGTCAGGATTGCAAAGGAGTGAGGGGGCCGTTTGGCTGGATGTTGAAAGTCTTGCGTGCCAGGTCCACCCTCAGCATATCCAAGGGTGCGATTCTCCCTCCCATTCGAGCGTACACTTTCTCTGGCACGCTCAAAGCAACCTTGCAAGCCCTCGCCGACCCACCTGCATGACCCCGAGCACCAGCTTGGCGAGGTCCCGCGTGTTGAAGAGGTAGTGGCTCTTGGAGGGCGTGGGCAGCATGTCCCGCACCACGCAGCGGTACAGCTCGACACTGGCCGCCACCAGCGGCTCCACCAGTGGCCGCACCTGTGGGTCATACGGATCAGGGGGAGTGGCGGAAGCAGCAGAGGCGAAAAAGAGACATCGTGTCAAGGTCGCCGGATGTGTGAGCCCTGTGTGTGCAAAAATCATGCATTTGAAGCGGCATCGCCCCATCCGCCAGCCTCTCAGCATCCATCTGCAGCTGCTGCGCATGGTTGCCCTTTGCCTCACCCGACCTGGCCTCAGCAATTCCCAACTTATAATTGACTGGCAACTCTCCCATACTGCCACTCCACCCCCCCCCCCATGTGAAAAATCCCCGACCTCGTCGTTGAAATCTGCCAGCTTGGTGTGCAGTATTGCCCCAAAGATGCGCCTCAGCTGGCCGTCGCTCGGCTGCGTCATGTTGACCGTGCTGAACATCGCCATGACGCGCTGCGAGAACGCGTTGCGGCCGCCGCCGGGCGGCGCCATCGCGGCCAGGAGCTGCATGTCTTTGATGGTCTTGGCCTCGCAGCGCTGGCGGTCGTACCTGAGAGGGCACACTTCATGAGTATCGCGTTGCCGGGGTGAAAAGCAGGGCGCAAACAGGAAGCGGTGCTTTTGACTGCTTTGAGGCCGGCAGTCGCAACCTTGCAAAAACGCAGCAGCTGCATCTGAGCCGGGAACCCAGCAGGCAAGCAGCGGCCCCACCCAGGCCTGCATACCAGAACCCGTTGTCGGCCCACAGCTTGAGCAGCTCCAAGGGGGGCATGAACCCGAACTGGCTCTTGGCCGGCATGTTGAGGTCGTCGATGAACGCCACCAGACGCTTGCCGCCGGGGGCGCCGTACACGCCCTTGGTGCGCTTCTCAAGCTTGCTCTCGATGGTTTCCTGGGGGGTTTTACAAGTGTTTGAGGATTTGGTGTATAGGGGTTTTTGGCAGTTTCTATCCACGGGACTGCAGGCAAAACTGCAAGAAGTAAATCTCAAGCAGCTCAATGAGTGTACACCAGACGTTTCGACTGTGCTGCGCATTGTCCAGGCGATCATGTGGGATGCTGCGGCACATGGCACCGCCGAGCTGATGAGCCGAACCCCAGATCCCTGGGGGTCGCACCTGGAGCGACGCGCTGCTGGTCTGCGCGCTGAAGTTGATGGTACAGTGCGCCCTGTCCGCCGGCAGCGCCTCCAGCAGGCTCTGCAGCGTCAGCGTCTTGCCGACGCCGACGCCGCCCACCACCAGGGCGTGGTGGCCGCCGCGCACGAGGGCGCCTACGACGAACTTGTTGCGCTGGGTGTCAACGGTCGGGACCAGCAGCCTGCGTTGTTTCATTATGTTGGTGGTGTGCACGGTTGGGGGTGGGTGCATATATGTGCTAGGGGTCTTGATGACGAGTACTTCAGGAATGCAGACACGCCGCTCATGTAAGGCTGCAGCAGGTGGTAGAACAGGCAGCTGGTGAAAATGGACGGAGAAAGGCCGGCCCAGCGTCATGGGGGGAGGGGCAAGAGCAGCACACCTGTAGGCGGGCACGTCCGCCGGCGGCTTGAACGCGCCCTGGGGCAGGCGCGCCTCCCAGGCCAGCCAGCCCTTGTTGCGGGGGTCCACGCTGCACTCAAACACGGTCTCCCCAGAGGGGTAGCGCGTGTCCATCTCCCTGGGATGGCGTAAGGGAGGGGCTGCGCGCTTTGCAATGCAGGCTGACTTGCGGGCTGTTGTGAACCACGGCAGGCGAGTTTCATGACGGCTGCGCCGGAGACTGGGCGATCCGGCGTCTGGACTGCAGGCCCTATGGGGAGTGGGCGTCCTGCCCCTGCCTATCCGCATGTGCTCGATTCCTGCCATACAGAATGACGTGTGCCGTGATTCAACCTTGGAGATCAGCAGATTTTGCCGCCAAGCAGCTACCTGCGCGCTCAAGCACGCATGCATGCGCCCACATCCACCATTCCACTGACCCGGCCGCCCGCCCACCACCACCCACCCAAACCCCGCACCTCATGAAGGAGTCGAACCGCTTGCGCCCGTCCTGGTCCAGCGTGCCCCCCAGCCCCCAGATGAGGCTGAACAGGAACCACATCTCCACCATCGCGCCCCACGCGTCCGCGCCCTCCTCGCGCGCGACGCCGTTGTCGGGGGTGGCGAGGGCGTCGAAGAGGCGCGTGAACGTGCGGACGCTGCTGAGGCGGTCCACTGGGACGAGATCCCTGAGGCATCAGCAGGCGGGCAGGATGGCATTTCGGATTGTTTGTAAGATCCGCATACTGTGCAGCTTCCGGATGACTGCATCCCAGCACCAGTGTGCGTGTTGCCCGGCGCGGCATCCAAGGGCGGCTCAACGCCCTCATCACGTGGCACCCCGCCTGCAGCAGCCCCTTCTGGGGCCCCCAGTAGCACATGCGGCTTTGACAGCCCGCGCCGCAAGCCCCACAACCTGCAGTCCATATTTCACATTCCATCACATCACGCTTTTTCAGCAGCGAGGGGGAAAGCCTGGCTCCCCATGAGGGGTAACGCACCTGCAGTTGAGCCGCTTGAACTCCAGCGCCGCCTCCATATAGCGCTCCACCAGCTTTCCCACCACGCCGGCCAGGTCCCGCGCCTCCTGGACCGCCGCAGCAGCAGCGCCGCTCGCGGCCGCCGCGGCGACGCGGCGCTCGAGCCAGCTGGTGATGATGGGGCGCCACCCCAGGTCCTCTGAGAGTGTTGGGGTTTTAGGGAGTATGGACGGCAGATGCTGTTCAACACGGCCAATCGGCTGCCTTGGATGATTTGCAGAGAACTTTCTGGAGGCATGCGGTGAGACGCTAGCAAACAATCAGTCAAGTGGTGGGCCCGACAGGGTAATACGCGGGACCCCACCTGTGTTCATGTAGATCATGCCAGCGCGCGACACCGTGGCCGGCGATGCCTGAGACAGGTCCTCCACTTCAAACAGCAGAGAGACCTGGGCTGGCATGGCGATGCGCTCGCCTGCAGCGAAGTGTGTTGAAATTGAGGCAGTGGAGCGGTCGAGCAACGAAGCGCGCGGGCGATGATGGGGGTGGTAACTCAGGCCCCCCCCCATAAAATAAATGGCTGCAATCGTCTGGATCACCCTCTGTAATGCCACGCGCACATGAACAT